ATTTTGTCTCGTGTGCTGTTGCGGGTATGAGGTGCGGTTATCACTTCCCGGCTGCCCACCCCGTGGAAGGTTGTTTCTTGACGAATATACAGATCCAGACTGAATGCTTCTAATGATTAGGTTATCATAAAGCTTGCAGATAATATAGTGAGGATACTGTCAGTCATATCCAACGTAGTAGTATCTGACACATGTACGCGTTAGTGCAATTTGGGATATCACATTAGCGAAGCAAAACAAAAGACAAACGCCAGAGTAGGATTAGTAACAGTATTATTTATAGTAGAAAAGACTAACAATAGAAAAAAGAAAAACAGCACAATATTTCGAGACGCCAATTACAAAGGAAGGTAAACAGTGAGTGGACGCAACAGTACTCCTACGAATGATGCCAAACCATTTCACTCGAAGGTTGTGTTAATCGCGAGGACTCCAACCAGATGGTAGTCTACACCTACCTACATGATTTAGTTCAACTATCAATAGCCTCATTGACCCAACGCTGCATTTGAGTTTACCAGCTCTAGATTTCATTCACAACCCACTCTTACCCCACATGGTTAAGGTAGGCAATGAATGATTGAACATACATACCATATACCTCAACCATCACAGTGAATGCTTAAGTCCAACTAGATCATTAAAAATAAAGCTAAAAGGAATTCATTCTAGCAAATTTCGATACAAATTTTAGAATTCGTTAGTTCATTTACACAACACACACACACAGACTCACATACATATACCACTTACCTTGATAAACGTAAATTTTCCAATTTCACCACTGTATGCTCAAGCATAAATTCCAGGTTCAGGTATAGGGATTTTTATATTAGGCAATAAGTTTGACGAATTAATAAACTCGAAATGATTTGATAATGTAATACGCCCAAAAATCAATCATTAAAGAAATAGTTGACAATGAATGTTGTGGCATATAAATTACTGGTGCTTGTGCAATAATATTTAAACTAAGACGAGTTTGTGAAGATTTGTCTACAGCTTCTTGAACCTTTAAAAAATTAACAATGAAGATAGCAAGCACAAAAAATAAAACTTTATAAGAAAATGATTCAATTAGAAATCAGTGTAACAGAGTCAAAATCACCATGTATGATATTGCTAAGCCGTTCTCTGTTTTCTTTCTATTTCATGGCGATCAAACATAAACACGCTTTGGGAAGCTGAAGTAACAAGCCCAGGAGTGTTCTGAACTTACAAGGGATGACTCGTAAGACTTTGGTAAACTAGCCACTTCTTTTCTGTACAAACCCCGCGTATTTTAATTTTCAAATAAAAAAGTGCCGTGTCTACCACTTCATGTTCTCTCTCTTGGTGTGAGGGAGTTAAACTAACCTTGTGTGTTGTGATTTTAGATCCTATCCGCCCTTCAGCGACTGCTGGTTACACATGTTACATCAGCATCTGTATAATATTTATCAATGTGACATTGAACGGTTTTCTTCAATATATCATGGTGATTTGTATTGTACTAATTGTGAACTAATGGCCTTAGAAATAATTGACTATTGTAGTCGATTTTAAGTTAAATATATTTGGAATATATTTTTTTAAAAACAGATGAAATTTTAACGTTGTGAATTGATCAGCGTTCGACGTCCAAACCGTTGGATACTGAGGTTTAGTGGTTCTGAGACTAAGCTTTCGCACACAAGACCGAAAGTCCTAGGTTCATTCCCGCGTAAAAGATTGTAGATACATACACTGCTGAGGAATTACATACTAGGATGAAACAACGGTTTAATGTCTCTGGGTTTTCAATTGTTGTATAAATCCAATAGAATCGTAATCACAACAAAATCCAATAATTTCCACAATTCCATACTAGTAATGTAGGTTTTCTTAATTTCTAATGAGTTAAGAAATTTACACTTTAGGTAAGCATATTTTTGCATGTGGAAGTTTAATGTCTCAAAGTTGGCATATGTTTTGTGTGTGATACAGTAATTTAGAGCTTGAAGCAATCTACCCTAACCTTTGCTAATGCAATTCAATCAACTAAGGTGGTAGCAGTATCATGAGGTTGCAATATAATTTTTATATGCAACCTCATGATACTGCTACCACTCAGTTGACTGAATCGCATTAGCAAAGGTTAGGGTCGGTTGCTTCAAGCTCTAAATTACTGTTTCACACACAAAACATATGCCAACTTTGAGATATTAAACTTCCACATGCAAAAATATGCTTACCTAAAGTGTAAATTTCTTAACTCATTAGAAATTAAGAAAACCTACATTACTAGTATGGAATTGTGGAAATTATTGGATTTTGTTGTAATTACGATTCTTTTGGATTTATACATTCATTAAAAACCCAGAGACATTAAACCGTTGTTTCATCCCAGTATGTAATTCCTCAGCAGTGTATGTATCTACAACCTTTTACGCGGGAATGAACCTAGGACTTTCGGTCTTGTGTGCGAAAGCTTAGCCACAGGACCATGAAACCCCAGTATCCAACGGTTTTGATGTCGAACGCTGATCAATTCACAACATTAAAATTTCATTTCTTTTTTTAAAAATGTATTTCAAATATATTTAACTTAAAATCGACAACAATAGTCAATTATTTCTAAGGCCATTAGTTCACAATTAGTACAATACAAATCACCATGATATATTGAAGAAAACCGTTCAATGTCACATTGATAAATATTTTAAAAATGCTGATGTAACACGTGTAACCAGCAGTCGCTGAAGGGCGGATAGGATCTAAAATCACAACACACAAGGTTAGTTTAACTCCCTCACCCCAAGAGAGAGAACACAAATTGGTAGACACGGCACTCTTTTATTTGGAAATTAAAATACGCGGGGTTTGTACAGAAAAGAGGTGGCTAGTTTATCAAAGTCTTACGAGTCATCCTTGTAAGTTCAGAACACTCTGGGCTTGTTACTTCAGCTTCCAAAGCGTGTTTATGTTTGATCGCCCTGAAATAGAAAGAAAACAGAGAACGGCTTAGCAATATCATACATGGTAATTTTGACTCTGTTACACTGATTTCTAATATATTCATTTCGTATAAAGTTTTAATTTGTGCTTGCTATCTTCATTGTTAATTTTTTAAAGGTTCAAGAAGCTGTAGACAAATCTTCACAAACTCGTCTTAGTTTAAATATTATTGCACAAGCACCAGTAATTTATATGCCACAACATTCATTGTCAACTATTTCTTTAATGATTGATTTTGGGCGTATTACATTATCAAATCATTTCGAATTTATTAATTCGTCAAAATTATTGCCTAATATAAAAATTCCTATACCTGAACCTGGAATTATGCTTGAGCATACAGTGGTGAAATTGGAAAATTTACGTTTATCAAGGTAAGTGGTATGTGTATGTGAGTCTGTGTGTGTGTGTGTGTAAATGAACTAACGAATTCTAAAATTTGTATCGAAATTTGCTAGAATGAATTCCTTTTAGCTTTATTTTTAATGATCTAGTTGGACTTAAGCATTCACTGTGATGGTTGAGGTATATGGTATGTATGTTCAATCATTCATTGCTTACCTAACATATGGTGTAAGAGTGGGTTGTGAATGAAATCTAGAGCTGGTTAAACTAAAATGCAGCATTGGTCAATGAGGCTATTGACAGTTGGACTAAGTCATATAGGTAGGTGTCGGGGTCTTCGCGATTATCACAACCAAAGGTTGATGACTTCAAGTGAAATGGTTTGGCATCATTCGTAGGAGTACTGTTGCGTCCACTCACTCACTGTTTACCTTCCTTTGTAATTGGCTTCTCGAAATCTTGTACTATCTTTCTTTTTCTATTGTTAGTCTTTTCTGCTATAAATAATACTGTTACTAATCCTACACTGGCATTTGTCTTTTATTTCGCTTTGCTAATGTGATATCCCGAATTGCACTAACGCGTACATGTGTCAGATACTACTACATTGTATGTGACTGACAGTATCCTCGCTTTAGTATCTGCAAGCTTTATGATAACCTAATCATTAGAAGCATTCAGTCTGGATCTGTATATTCGTCAAGAAACAACCTTCCACGGTGTGGGCAGCCGGGAAGTGATAACCGCCCTCATACCCGCAACAGCACACGAGACAAAATTGTTCAAAATCAAATCCTTCCTACATTCCCTAATACCTCTCTTATCTCCACAACTAACTCTTCTCACATTCATTTATTACAGTGCACAGCTAATGCAAACGATGCGAGTTTGCGAAACGTCGTTCCTGGTCTCCTTAAACCCCGTTCCAAACTACATGTTGGAGCATTCAATGTACGGACATTGTGTCAAATAGGGCAACAGGCGTCATTAGCTAGGACTTTAGAATCTCGTTCCATCGATGTGTGCTGCGTCTCGGAAACGCGCATACAGGATCCGAGTAGCATCACTCATTTGACCTCACCATGTCAAGATAAAGAAGCAGCTCGATTTACCCTTCGTGTATCCGGTAGCCCTGATGCTGCTTCTAGGGGCCTCGCCGGCGTAGGTATAGCATTGAGTCGTAGGGCAGAACAATCTCTCCTTGACTGGATCCCTGTAGATAGTCGATTGTGCGCCGTCCGACTGAACGGGACAGTAAGGACTCGGAAAGATAGGGACACTCGCCGTTGCCTCTTCGTCATATCAGCCTACGCCCCCACTGACTGCAGCCCAGATGATGTAAAAGATGAGTTTTGCAGAAAGCTTTCGGACCTCCTCCAAAAAATTTAAGCGCTCTGATATAGTTATAATGGCTGGTGACTTCAATGCACAAGTAGGTAGACAAAGTGAAAATGAAAGACACCTAGGTGGATGTTACGGTCTCGCGGCTCAAAGAACAGACAATGGCGACCGTCTGTTGCAACTATGCTCAGATAACCAACTATTTCTAGCAAACACTAATTTTAAGCATAAGGAAAAACACCTTTTGACCTGGCGACACCCGAAGGCGTCTCAACGTTGGACACAACTAGATCATATCGCCATCAGCCACCGATGGAGGGGTTCGATAGAGGACTGTCGCTCGTTCTGGGGCACATGTTTAGATTCAGATCATGCCCTAGTGCGAGCACGTATTTGTTTGAGCCTGCTTGCTGGACGTAGGAAAGACACCGTAAGAAAGCCTCTTAGGGCTTTACTTGATGATAATCAAGCTAAGAAAGTATTTCAGGAGGAACTAGAAAAACAGTTGGGCGATCATGCAAGTGATTCCCATCCGGAGGCAGGTTGGAATGATATAAAGAAGGCTGTGGAAACAGCAGTGATATCTGCTAGCAAGGTAAACCATAAGGCTAGGATGAAGCCGTGGATTTCAGTCGCATCCACCGAACTGATGGATGCACGAAAACGCATCCCACCTGGCTCTGAACATGATGAAGAGCGTACTCAACTTAGGCGCAGACTTATAAAAAGCCTACGTAACGACCGTGAACAGTGGTGGGTGGCGAAAGCAAAAGCGATGGAGAAGGCAGCGGCGATCGGCAACACCAGACAACTTTTCCGCCTTATCAAAGAAACCGGTATTAGGAACCCGAATGTAAGTGAGACTATCTCGGAAAAGGATGGTCTTATTATCCATTCTCAATCTAGGAGGCTGGACCGATGGGCAGAACACTTTAGGGATCAGTTCAACTGGCCTTCAGCCACTCTTCGGTTACCCACGATCTCCAGTCATCCTGAATGGCAAATCGATTTAAGTCCTCCCAGTTTACATGAAGTTGAGAAAGCTATAGGAAATCTAAGGAGAGGTAGAGCGGCAGGTCCCAATAGGCTTAATCCTGAGATGTTTAAGTATGGTGGTCCAGTTTTAACGGTTAAACTGACCGAGATCCTAGGTAGAATCTGGGAAATGGACGTAATCCCATCTGACTGGTCTCAGTCACTAATTGTCCCAATCTACAAGAAAGGACAGAAGTCCTCTTGTGACAATCACAGGGGAATAAGTTTAACTAATATAGTTTCTAAATTGTTAGCCTCGATTATACTTAGACGTCTAACTAGAGCTCGCGAAGAGCAGACTCGAGAAAACCAATCTGGTTTTCGACCTGGACGTGGTTGTATAGACCACATCTTCACACTACGACAGGTCCTGGAACACAGACACACGTTTAGACGTCCGACAATAGTCGTGTTCCTGGACCTTAAGGCGGCATTCGACTCTGTGGATCGTGAGGTTCTGTGGCAGTGTCTGTCATTGAAAGGTGTACCAAAGAAGTACATTAACCTTATACAAGCACTCTACTCGAACACCACTGGTCGGGTGAGAGCATATGGCGAACTGTCATCTGAATTCTCTACATCAAGTGGTGTCCGTCAGGGCTGTTCACTCTCTCCATTCTTGTTCAACTTTGTCGTAGACATCCTCTTAGAGTTAACATTAAGCTCGTCAGATTTTTCAGGGGTTGACCTTCTACCAGGAAAATCGCTTACTGATCTAGAATATGCCGATGACATAGTTCTATTCGGTGAAGACGCTGACAAAATGCAGAGTCTTCTGACTACCATAAGCAACAATGCGAGCATGTTCGGGATGCGGTTTTCCCCCTCGAAATGCAAAATGTTGCTTCAAGACTGGGTTGCATTGGCACCTGAACTAGTGATAGGGAGTGAAGTAGTCGAGCGTGTAGATCACTTCACTTATCTGGGGAGTCTCATCAGTGCTGACGGTCTGGTGACTGACGAAATCTCAGCTCGGATACAGAAAGCTCGATTGGCTTTTGCCAACCTGCGTCACTTATGGCGTAGGCGTGATATCCGTTCGCTAACCAAAGGGCGGGTGTACTGCGCAGCAGTTCGTTCCGTTCTCTTATATGGCTGTGAAACATGGCCGTTAAGAGTAGAAGATGTTCGTAGGTTACTAGTATTCGATCATAGATGTTTAAGAAGGATTGCTCGTATACCGTCGGACGGCCGAGTAAGCAATGTTGTCGTTAGGAAACGAGTACTAGGTAAGGATGGCAGATCAATCGATGAAGTGGTGAAACTTCATCAGTTGAGGTGGTTGGGACATGTGTTACGTATGCCTAACCACCGACTGCCTCGACGAGCTATGTTTTGTAGTGTAGGAGTAGGTTGGAAGAAAGCTAGGGGCGGCCAGACCAAAACATGGCAGAAATCCATGAAGTCATTGACAGGTGGACTGAGTCATGTTGGTAGATGTAGGCTACCTGGTTGGGGTCCGCGAGACGAAAGTCATCAATGGTTAGAGACCTTGAACGACATGGCTCAAAATCGTTTGCAATGGCGCAGGTGCATCCACTCTTTGAGCTCTCTCAAACCCTAATCTTCTGGATTAGCCAGCACCTCTACCTTTGTCTTTCTAACCTTATCTCACTGAGTTATATTTTTTGAATAATATCTTAAACCCTAGTCTTCTTTATTATAACATTAATACCTCTACCATCTTTATCACTATGGGATTTGATTTGACATTTGCGTCTCTGTGCTAATAATGTGGTATGGCAACATGAACTTATGTACATACGTACGAAGTTCTACGTTGCAACTGACTGACTGACTGACTGAATAAGAAAAATATATATACACTTCATTCTCCTATTTCACTTGAATATTGGTGTTGAGTAAAATGTAGTTAGTTATTTGGCATAAGTGTGTTTTAAGTCTAAACCACTACAACACAATATCATCACAATGAAATGGGAAGTGAACAATTTAAAAAGGAAAAAAATGTGAAAAACACTACATACGACAAAGTGGACGGCCTCTTCAGCTTCATTTACGTGAACACCAATTAGCAGTCAAACGCCACTGCAACGCTTCGCTTATATCAATCAATACACACCGACAATTATGGACAAATATTTGATTGGAACAATATGGAAATACTGGGTAGTGGGAGGACAAAGAACACTAGGAAATTTTTAGAAGCTTGGCGCTCAGGTCATTCAGCAATCAACAAACACATCGACGTTGACCCAATTTATCAACCAATCAGGAAAATCATAGGTGACATAGGATCAAGAAACAAATCAAAAGAGGGATACAATCAAAACAAAGGTGCAAACAACGGGTCAACAGCAACCAATCAAGATCGAGGTTAGCAGAACAAGCTACAGGTCAAACGTGGAGAAATTCGAATGCTTCACTTCTATCTGAAGTTTATGCTGATGATGTTGTTCAGAAGAACAATGAATGCTCCACAACCAAAACATCCATCACAGAAAACCAAACACCACCACCGCAAAGAAATGTAAACAATTTTAATATTATAAACAGTGATGGATGATAGATAGCTAGCAGTGGAATCCAGAATGTGCATTTCATCCCAATTGGGACTCATCAACTGGACGAAATATACGTCCTAGATTCTGCTATTAGCCATTATTCATCTGTATTTTTTAACCTAATGGAAATATCAAGGCAGTCCGCACAGAATACACACATATGAGCATATAATCGACTAATCACTTTTAGTCTTAAACTACAATGAGAATATGCAAACAACCGATATAAATGAACTAATGATTTTGAGCGAAATTAGTTACAATATTCAATACTCATTTCAAATAATCAATCTCACTCATCTCAGTGTAATCTGTAACTTAACAGTTGTTAAACGAACATGCCATTGGATCATAAACTTTTAATGTTTATGTAGTTGTTTACGAAGGAGACAAGCTCAGATGAAAAACATGTAGTGAAAACACTAATTGTTTGTGAAATATGTACACTTTGTATATAACCATCCATTTGCATCTGTTGTATGTTCTGCAATCCGTGTTGGTTATAGACTGTCTTCTTTCACTTCTACGCTGATATTCAAATACTCAAATCATGCCATTCACTTCAGGCTCCTGTAACTCTTCTGTTATTGGTATCAACCTCCAGTTAACTCTTCCCTGCATCACAGTAGGACATGTCATGTATTTTTTTACAAACATTGATTCCTGAAAATAGCAACCTGAACTTATGTACTTACGTACGAAGTTGTACGTTGTAACTGACTGAGCGACCTGGAAATGTATATTTTTTTTCAAAGGTTTAGGTATTAGACGTGTTTATGTCGGAACATGGTTTGAACTCACTACCAATAACAATGGATAAAAAAGCATTGTTCTCATTTTCTTTATAACTAACTGTATGATATGTTTTTTTTTTCATGTCAATTAAAATTTAGTTACATTTTGTTTCTGTTTTTGATGGCATTTTTTTTCCCAATTATTACCATAAAATAAAATTAGGGTAATACTAGAAGAAAGTTCTGTTAAATCTGAGAAACGTGTTCTCCTTCCAATTAATGTCGAATTAAAAATGCGTCGTAATCTCAATCCAAATATTTATTCTGCTATACCTATCCTGTCGGTTAGTGGTGGATTAAATGAAATTTCTGTAAGTGTTGATTAATTGTATTTCATTTGTGTTGTTTTTTATTCTTGATGTGTAGAAAAACGCATTGTTACTCTCTCTGTCTCTCCCTGTGTTCATTCTTATCTTTACCACTTGATTGTAGTTACTACACTGATGTGTTGGTCAAACATCTCTATTGTGATGATCTAATCGAGCTAGAACACTTGATTCTTTAGGTTCTACACTCGTATAAGGGTTGATTTGAGAGATGTAAAACTGAAAGTGACAAACTCGTTTAGCCGGCCGTACACGTGCAAAATCGTGCACGGAGGACAACTAACAGACTCTTTCGAGGTGAAGACCGGTGTCAGGCAAGGTTGCTTACTCCCACCCTTTCTCTTTCTCCTGGTCATCGACTGGATTATGAAGACGTCGACGTCTGGAGGGAAGCACGGTATCAACTGGACAGTTAGGACGCAGCTCGACGATCTGGACTTCGCAGATGATCTGGCTCTTCTATCACACACTCAACAACAAATGCAAGAGAAGACGACCGGTGTAGCAGCAGCCTCTGCAGCAGTAGGTCTCAACATACATAAACGAAAAAGCAAAATTCTCCGATGCAACACAACATGCACCAACCAAATCACTCTTGATGGAGATGCTTTCGAGGACGTTAACAACTTTACATATCTTGGCAGCATCATCGACGAGAGAGGTGGATCTGATGCAAATGTGAGGGCGCGGGTCGGCAAAGCACGGGCTGCATTTCTACAGTTGAAAAATATCTGGAACTCCAAACAACTTTCAACCAAAAGCAAAATCAGGATTTTCAATACAAATGTGAAGACAGTTCTACTGTATGGAGCGGAAACTTGGAGAACTACTAAAGCCATCATCCAGAAGATACAAGTGTTTATTAACAGTTGTCTACGCAAAATACTTCGTATTCATTGGGCAGGCACCATCAGCAACAACGAACTGTGGGAGAAAACAAACCAGATTCCAGTGGAGGAGGAAATAAGGAAGAAGCGGTGGTAGTGGATAGGATGCACATTACGAAAAGCACCTAACTGCGTCACGAGACAAGCCCTCACATGGAACCCTCAAGGCAAAAGGAAAAGAGGAAGGCCAAGGAATACATTACGCCGAGAAATAGAGAAAGATATGAGAGGAATGAACAAACATTGGACAGAATTGGAGAGGGAAGCCGAGGACAGAGTTGGTTGGAGAAAACTGGTGTGCGGCCAATGCTCCATTGGGGGTAACAGGCGTAAGTAAGTAAAGTAACACGAATGTGATGGTAATCAGGTATTTCTCTTAGACAGCTGACATATACGGAGAGAGGGATTAAGAAGGTTCATTCATAAAAATGATACGCATTACTCTGCTGTTCTGTTTTCTCATGATGTCGATAAGGTATTAAAAGCACCGAGTTGGCACTTCAAGTACTGCATCCAAAATCACCGTGCAGGCTATAAATCTCAAGCAGTTATCTCTTGTACTCTGTAGCCACGCTTCCAATTCATAAAATTCATTACTCAGTTTACTTTTCGAGCACTTTTAGAAAATATATCTTTTCACGATGTGGCGGTGACATACATACCTCATACCTTTGACAGCATTCACGATCTCATCTCGACTTTTTGTAATAATACTAGCAAAACGTATTTAATTACAAATCCTTTTAACTTTGACATCAGTAACTTTCCAAATGAACAAGTGATATTTATTCATCAATTCGATCGTCGAAACCTGTAACAATGGCACACAATTTAGTAAAATGACCTACGAACTAAAACTGATTCACTTTCTATTGTTAAACTGTTTTTTTTTCCACATAAACTGATTACGTAGAGCAGTTATTTTACATTGGCATTTGTGAAATATTTACTCAGTAATTTACAAAGTTTTTTTTGCTTTCTTTCAGTTTTTATATACTTTTAAGGTTCGCTACATGTAGTGTCAAAACAGGTTAAGTCACAGAATATCTATCACCAGTCTCATGTAAAAAAACAATGTCATGATTTCTCTTTAATTAGAGTAACTTCATGAATTCTCCATTAGATTTAAAGTATTCTTAATTATTTATCAAATAAAATGACTTGACTTTGATTAACATTGTGTTTATTGGAAAGCCTAAATATAAATTGTGTCTTTCTTATGCTTACTTACCACTAAGTACATTTGTAACACCTCACATATTATATCTTGTACTTTTATCCATTGTTGAGCTTGTATGCGCATGTACGTAGTTGGGCATTCATTACTTGCCACCTACACATATAGTTAGTTATTTGACTAGCTGTATCGATTATTAACAGTTTGAATCATTCAATGTCAATATCGACCTATACATATTTGAATGAAATCCGATATTTGTATATCGATCATTAAGATAATTGGAATAATAAAGAAATTGTGGCAATGATTCGTGGTGTTCTCTCGTAGCGACGATCATCAAGACGGAGATATACGGGCAATCGAAGATAACGAAAGTCTAACGTTACAATAAATTGGTGAGCCTGACGTGATTGTTGAGCTTGTATGCGCATGTACTGTACGCTTGGGCATTCATTACTTGCCACCTACACATACAGTCGATATTGACATTGAATTATTCAAACTGTTAATAATCGATACATCTATTCAGATAACTATATTGTGTAGGTGACAAGCAATGAATGCCCAACTACGTACATGTGCATACAAGCTCAAGAATGATAAAAGTACAAGATATATATCAGGTGCTACACATTCACTGTTAACCCACTACTTACTATATGCCTAATTATTTCAAAAACTTTAAATTGTCATATCAATCTGTTAAGTTTATTGTTATTAACAATAGTAATGACTTTATTCAATATTATATGTCTAGTACAATATGAAATACTCAGCATTGATTATTTCAACAAGTTTTACTTTACGAAAAACAATTATTGATTAACAGTTGTAAGTAAAGAGCTATTGAGGAATTGACATTTCATTAATGTTCGTTCTTTTCTCAACATGTTGCTCGATGTTTCAGCCTATCATTTTTGTACCTTTTGAAGTGATGACTTGTCAACCAGTCAGTTAGTTAGTTATAACGTAGAATTTCGTACGTACATACATACATCATTCGAGATGTATACCCCAGAGGAATCGATTATAAAAAGAGAAAAAAAACCGGTCGTGAAGAATCCAGTGTTAGTTATTTCCATAACTAATTGTAGTTATATGATAACAAACCAATCAAATTGTGGTTTAAGCTCCCACCACGTGATCTGATCTGACGTGTCTGTAAATCTTCTTTGTTGTAAATGACCTAATAATTGAAGGACGTTAATATCTTATTATATTGATGTGACTCATAGTTTTATTCATTTCCATAAGACACGCTATACTGGTCGGTACGTTTGCTCGTCTTACTTGATAATTGTAATTCCCTTATTTATTGTACTAATTTAATTGTTTTTATGTTTAGAAACAGATAAAGTTTAAATGAAATGTTAATTTTGTTCTGACTATAGCTTTACCATTGACTCTGTGCTCGCCAGTATTGCGTTTACTGTTCTAGAATTACATCTGTAGGACAAAATAAATCACACATCCAGAACATTAGGATTTGAGAGAACAGAAAGAGTGTGGATGCATGTGCACCATTGCAAACGATTCTGAGGGCCATGTTGTTCAAGGTCTCTAACCATCGGTGACTATCGTCTCGCGGACCTCAACCAGGTAGCCTACATCTATATACATGACTCAGTCCACTTGTCAGTGACTGCCATGTTTTGGTTTGGCCGCCCCTAGTTTTTTTTCCAACCTACTCCTATACAGCAAAACATAACTCGACGAGACCTGTAAAAGCACGATGGCTTGTAAACGTTTGATATACTCGCCTAAATAGATTATGCAATTAATTGACATGTTAAACAATCAATAAGAGGCATCTTTTTGAAATATTTTCATGTTAGAAAAAAACAGCTAGCCCAAATATTCAAGCATTTCGCCGATTAATTATAGTCTACAATTCTAATAAGTATATACCTAATTTAGGTGGTATCAAATCATAGATCATTACCGCTTAAAATCTTATGGTGCTTACATTATTAATCATAAAAACAAAATATCAAATATCATTTTTCACACTTGATCAGGAAAATTTCCAATTTGAAACTTTTCCTATTCTTTACCTTTCCCTGCTCCCCCTATGTAGATTTCATGTTCTCAAGGTGATTATCGTTCTATTCAAGAAGTAATTTTTGATAATTTCAATGACTTACCATCATCGTCATTATCATCATCCACCGGAACAACATCAATCCAAATTGGTGATACTTCTGTTATATCGACTGATAAAAAACAACCGACAACACAACCAAAAGTTGACGAGAAAAAAAATGCACAAAATATTGATGATGATGATGATGACAAAAGTCCAGTCAAAATTGCTGTCAGTTTTGATTTGGAAATGAAAAATGTCATTCTTAATTTGTATGCATGTGATCAACCTGTAGTAAGTTTTTGTCTTCTTATTTGTTGAAAGACATCTGTAATAACTTTTTTTTCGGTGTAAATTTGTCAACGAACTCAATTAGTCAATTGATAAATAGCAACGTAGAACTTCGTACGTACACACGTACATCAGTGTTCAAGTTGCCATACCACATTAGCACAGAGATATAATTGTCAATTCAAATCCAATAGTAGAAGAGGTAGTAAAGGTATTAGAAGTAATCGGAGAGATTAGGATTAAAAGATATCATTCAAGAAGTATATAATTCAGTGAGAAAAGTTTAGAAAGTCAAAAGTAGAGGGGTTGAAGAACTCAGAAGATCAGGATTTGAGAGAACACAAAGAATAAATGCACTGGCGCCATTGCGAACGATTTTGGGCCATGTCATTCAAGGTCTCTAACCATCGATTATTATCATCTCGCGGAACCCAACCAAGTAGTCGACAATTCACCGACATGGCTAAGTCCACTCGTCAATGACTTCATGGATTTCTGCCATGTTTTGGTTTGGCCGCCCCTAACCTTCTTCCAACCTACTCCTACACTACAAAAAAAAGCTCTTCGAGGCAGTCGGTGGTTAGGCATACGCAACACATGTCCCAACCACTTCAACTGATGAAGTTTCACCACTTCATCTATTGATCTGCCATCCTTACCTAGTACTCGTTTCCTAACGACAGCATTGCTTACTCGGTAGTCCCACGGTATACGAGCAATGCTTCAAAGACAGTAACCTACGAATATCTTCAACTCTCACTGGCCATGTTTCAAAGCCATAAAGTAAGACGGAGAGAACTACTGCGCAGTAATCACAGAGATTAGGTTTTGTAGATAGTTTGTTGTCAATGAACTAAGTAGTAACTTTTTTTCTTTTTACATACAATTTAATGTACTACTATTTTATTAATTGTGTTAAGTTGGTTATCGAATGAATTGTTACTTTTTATTGTTTCATAATAATTGATCATTGAATATGGTAACTAGTGAATTGTTTCCTTTGTGAACACTAGGACTAAGTGGTTTTAATAATAATGCTATACACAATATATTTTTAGTGTAAGTTTAATGTTGTGTGTTAATGATCAATCTGATAATGTTGAATATTTTCGGGCAGAGTTTTGGAGGTTTGTGTGTTTACACATTTCAAATCATCATCAATCAATCATTGTTAGACCACTGTTAGAAACATGGAAGCGGGAAAATATCGTAACAGGCCTCAATAGTGACTAGCTTCGTGAGGAAATTCTCGGAGTTCTAGTTGAGAAGACGTGACTGTCGGGTGTAGGCAGTAACTACCAAAGACAAATGGGTGGGGTCGCGCAAAATCCCTAGATCAATCAGAGTTAGACATTAACACCGTTGGATGCCGGTCCAGTGGTCCGATGGTTAGGCGTTCGCGCACAATACCGAAGGTCCTGGGTTCGAATCCTGCGAGGTGCAGGAGTTGTGGATGCGCACTGCTGGTGAGTCCCATACCAGGACGAGACGGCCGTCTTTCAGTGCTTGCAGGTTTCTAATGGTGGTCTAACAATGATTGATTAATGATTTGAAATGTTGAATATGTCATAAGTATTCTTTATTAAGATGTATTAACTACCATAAGATGTTAGTCTACAGTTCTCTCTACCGATAAGTTTGTATCATGAGTGGAATTCATGGGATCTAGTCAAAGTTAATTACATTTTAAATTGACAAACTGACTATTCATTTTATAGGAGTTTAAAGTTCGAAGATTCAATTATTTAGTGAATAACACGTGAGTGAGAATAGGATTTAATCAAAAGGGATAACATTATGTTACGAATGAACGTCAGTCAGTCAGATGCAACGTAGAACTTCGTACGTATGTACATCAGTTCATGTTGCCATACCACATCAGCACAGAGATGTAATTGTCAATTCAAATCCAATAGTAGAAGAGGTAGTAAAGGTATTAGAAGTAATCGGAGAGATTAGGATTAGAAGATACTATTCAAGAAGTATGATTCAGTGAGAAAAGTTTAGAAAGTACGAATGAACGTAAACATGTCTTTTTGATATGCTTGAATGGTTTTCTGCGGATTTCAAAGGATAAAATTCTAATTCAATTTGATCATCATTCAAAAAACGAAGTTATGAATAGAAAGTGTAATAACACACATCAGAAAACTGAGATCATTGCAATTAAAGTGATCCTGTAAACTGTTTCTGTATGCATAATTCTATCTTTGAATTGCATGTAGTTAACATTTTCACAATACGAAAGAGACTGGCATTCAGAT